AGAACAAATGCACTGGCACAAGTTTTCAACAATGTGAGTGACACTCACAGATGTGGTAACAACAGCGAGAAAGAGTTGATGAAAAAGTTCTGCTTTGAAGAGTGTAGAACAAGTTAATAAAGATAAGTTAAAGAGGTAGTAGATATTTAATATAAGGTAGCACATGTGTCAAGCTCAGGAAATGGAGGGCCAAATTTGGCCCATTGTTATTTTTTATGTGTTCCTCTCTAAACTCTACATACAAAGAGCTTTCAAAAAGCAACTAAATATACTGTCGAATTACATCAGCATGAAAAGGTGTTCAATACTCAGACCTATTTACTAATATTTTTGAGAGTTTTTAAGTGGGTTTAATCAATGCATTCTGGAGCTACCTGCGCTTTGAGGATATTCATGAGCTTGATATTGCCTAAAATATGAGTGTCTCTTTACTGTATCTAACCTGCCTTAGACACAGTGCTGGGGAATACATATTCTCACTTTTTTTTTCCTTCTTCTTTTTGTTAAACCTACAACTATTAGATAATCTCACAAATTTTAAAATTAGATAAAATGATATTGAAGGGTTAGGGTTAGAAGAGCTCTATAGTTTTTTATCAAGGTGGATAAGCAGGGGGTTAGTGGGACACGGGACAATGTCGGGGATAGTGATCTACATGTAAAGTGAGAGACCGAATGGTGGTGAAGTAGAGTTCAAATTATCCTCTAACAGTCTTCCAGCTGCAGTCATCTCACAATAACAACCTGGTTTCTATTGGTAGCTCTGCATCAAGCTGCTGCCAGCACCTGATTCATTTAAGCTGATTCATCCTGTGAAACCAAAAGGTAGATGTTAGGTCAGAGATTGGTGAATCATAGGTGTTAGGAGGTAAGCAAGCAAAATCCATGAGGGCTTGACCTCCATTAACATTTCTGGCTGACCCAGACAGAGGCTGAAGATGGTGTCAACACTTGGCTTATCAAGCGAACAGATGGTGCAGGAGATCAACAGTCTGGTAGGATGTAGGTAAAGCCTCTATTGCCTATCACTCTGACCAGTTAGAATGTGGCTTCAAACTGTGAAATAATTTCATACAGAGCTTTGCACAAAGGTTTCTACTTGCTTCCAGATTTCTTCTTCTTGTTTTTTTTTTTTTTTTTGTTGTTGTTAAGATTTACGTGTTTCACCAAAAAAAAAAAAAAAACAGAAGAACTGGCATGGCAGACTCACACTGACAACAAACACTGACAACAATCACATCATATAAGATCAATCAATCAAATCAAGAATAGATTAAATAAAGTCACTGACTTCTGTATGACAGTCATATCTAATTTTGAGACCGTGTTGAAATACACATGAAATGGTGTTGAAGGTTCCCAGGAAGGACCACCAAAATTACTCCAAGATCTTAATAAGGACTCAGTCGAGAGGCTGCAAAATAGTCCGGAAAAACATCTGAAACTCAGTAGACCTCATTCAGTTAAGATTAGTGTCTATTATTCAGTTGTAAGAAAGACACTGGACAAAAATACATCTATAGGAGTGGAAACCATAGCTGAACAAAAAGAAAACAAGTCCCTAATATATTCACAAGAAAATTTATGAAAACTATTTTGTTTTGTGGAACTTTTTTGAAGTCAACATGCTATTATCTGGCCTAAAACTAATATAGTGATGGTAATGTGAAGATCCGGTGCTGCTTAAATGCTTAACAACTTTGAGGACTTTCTGTAATTGATGAAAGTGTGAGTTCTGCTCTCTACATTAGGAGAAAGTTCTTAAACTCAAATCTACAATTAATTAAGCTCAGATCAAGCCTGCTTGAGTCAAGCAGTAAGACAGTGACCTAAAACAAGTTACACCTGAAAGTCTTTGGAGTGGCACACTCAATATCTGGACTTAAATCTGATAAACATGCTATTGCATGTTAGCATTGAGTCAGATTGTAACGTCTGACGAAAGAAACAAAAAAAGTTATGCAAGGCGTAAACACTCTTTCACAACATTGTACCTAAATTCAAATATTAGAATGTATTGTTGCTGTTCTTCTCGTGTTGCCTCAAGACAAAAAAAAAAAAGAAATTGTGAGCTGCAACAATGACATATTCCAGGGAAACACAATGTTCCATATTTTCAGTGAATCTCAAGACAGTCACTTGCAATTTCGGTTTGGCTGTGAAGTCAGGCATGCTACCACAATACCCTTATTAAAAAGACTGAGTTAAAAGGTTCTTTTTTGTCGTTGACTCATCCAAGGCTGGTTTCTTCACCAGGCTGATGCCGCCTGACTGAAAATGTTTACTTATGTCATTTTCGCTCCTCACGATTTGAAGAACACACCCATGTTTGTCCTGCAGATATATATGTTATATATATATATATATAATATTTACAATTTTTCACCCGCGAAATATTGAAGGTACAACAAAAACTATTTCGTTTTTTTTAATTAATTTCCAAGGAACACAACGACAGCTTGTGAAATTTCAACAAATTATATTGTGATTTTCTGTTACAGAGACAAACACAAAGGAATACAAAGTAGGAAGAATTCCAAACACCAAAATGTTATGATGATAAGGAAGTTCTGTATCTTCTGTCTAATAAAAATATTACCAACAATCAGTCAGAAGATCAAAAGTAGCCCAAGGTTCATTCCTGCAACTTTCACTTCATTTTGGTCCCCATTGTTTAATCTGACTCTCTGCTGACTCATCATATCCTTCTTTCAGCACAGATTCCAACACAGGCTGTGTGGAGATGAGGACAAAAGTGACCACATTTTCACTGGAACATCTTTTGTGAGTCTGGGTGTTGGCCTGAAGCTAAGCGAAAAGACTGTGTCAGCATATTTTACTCCTTTGATCCCCAGGCAGAAAAAAGACACAGACAGAAGGACGAACTCACAGGTTTACGCGTTCAAGTGTTGGAGGTCTGTTGTGCATATACAAAGTTGCAGCAGGTCGACGTGTAAAACACTGAAATATTTGAGAACACAATGTGAGCCCTGCCAAAGAAACCGACACTTTATGCTTATTTCAAGGCTGCGTTGGTTTGCAAGTTGACACTGCTGCCAGCTAATATTGTTAGTATTCACATGAAACCAAAAGTGTGATGAATTGTCTATGCTTTAAAACCTGAAAACAGCTTTAAAATTTTGGTTCCTAAGTTTTACCATGAAAGTGGGCACATTTTATATGCCAGGGCTGTTTTTATTTATATTTTCTTTTCAAAATGTTGGTGAACCCTGAGTAAAACTGCTCCATTTGTAGCTCTGGATGTTGGGAGGTGAAACTCTGTGTCAGACTTAAGACTTTTCAACCTCTTAACTGGCTTTCTTAAAGTATTGCACTTTATATAGGTCAATCCATCTTCCTCTAAATTCTGACCAGCTTCAGTCTCCCTGCTGTAGAGAAGAACCCTGTGACATGAAGCTGCCTCCACCGTGCCTCGCCATGAGAATGATCTTCAGACAGGACATCTTTCTCGATGTCGATATAAAAGGTCAGATTTGTTGAGGCTGATTGCAAGTGGGGGAATCTTTTGACAATCGTCCTGTATGTTTAAGTGCACATTTCATTTGGATGCAAACATTTTTAGAAATAAAAAAAACTCTCAGTCACAATAAGCAGGCATACAGACATCATCTATAACAGTATCTGGAAGCTATGTTTATAGGAAATAGGAAAAAGAACCAGCAATGACCTGAAACAAGACCTATGATGCATCATCCTTAGGTTGATGTGATGTTTTTGAAGGAGATGCAGCCTCGCTGGCCCTAAATAGTACATTGTGTTATTTTGTTCAGATCCTGTTTTAGTTTTTAAATGACCTACTTCTTCTCTCCCATTTGTTGGTTGCCATGGTGAAGCCATAACTTAGTGGAAGAAAAAGGGGACAAGACGCTTGCAAGGACAATGATGTTGATGTGTTTCACAAGGAAACAAAGTGACTGATGTGCCAACACAAAGGAGGAAACGAGGCTGCAGGTTAGTCATCGAGCTCCATTTACACTCTGTGCTGGTGACACAAACACAAATTTTATGCAACCTCTCTATTTCTCTATTTACAAAGCAGGTGCCTGAATGGACGTGTCCTTAAAGTAGAGAGGGAAGGGAAGGATTAAAGGTAGGAAATGTCACATTTCGAAAAAATATCCCCCATCAACATGGGCTTCAAATTACAATAAATTAGAAATCCTTCAATATTCAAAGATTTGCTAAAATGTTACATTGATGAAAGTCTAGGTTTAATTAAAAATAGATAATAGGCAAATATAGAAAATTTGAAACACAAAATCTGACAAATTAATCACATGCTAGAATCAAATGCAAAGGCCTTTAGCTTCCTGATATTTGAATGTGTCGAGCTTTTTCTTCTAAGGGAACAAAAATGTATTTGTTATTAATATAAAAAAGAAAGATTATCTTTCTCTGTGAATCCTAACCTGGTGGAAATAAAACCCCAGAACAGACCTGGGACTGAAAGTTTTGGTAGGAGAATATATATTGCTCACATTGGTGTCTATTGTGGATTTATGTTTAGTTCTGAGAGGATTGGCAATTTTTTTTAAAGTTTGTTTGTTTGTGAACATCAAAATTGAAAGTCTGTGTTTGAATTTATGTTAATGTTGCTCATACGTTTGGCAGATGCTTTTATCCAAACTGACAAGTTGATAATATTGTGTTGTTTCCATTGTGCACAAAATGGAAACATTCAGCCCTCTGACCTAAGAGCCTTTTCATAGCTTCAGCCATGTTTATAATACAACTATGAGGGTAGATGACAAATTTGTTGAGAATATAAAAAAGATGAATTTTTGACCAAATTTATAAGGTAATAAAGCTTTTGTGAATAACTAAAATGTATCCGATAATTCTGCAAAATATTCTAAACAATGTAGACACAAAACCACGGTCAAAATATTTCTAAAATCACTGTCTTAAAAGACATCGAAACATTAAATTTACACTAAAGATGATGAATGACAGAAGAACTTTCTACAATATATTGCAAGTTTTAATTTATACATTAACAAAATGATGTGCCAGCAATAGAAAATATCAAAACATTGTTAAAATAGTACATTTGTTCCTGGCCATGTTTGAAACCAGCTTTCTGAGTAGTTTCCCGTGAAATCTCAGCCAGTTGGCCATCTATTCACAGACTGGACTCTGACATATCATCTTGTTTTAACATTAGTACAGACAGCAACAGAGGCAGTCTGTTTTAATATCCATGGAGTTCACAGACAGTAGGCTCAGACCACCCAGGAGTTGAACAAACTTCCCACTAAATCGAATTGATACTTATTTTCTGGTCTTATTTAATCTCTCCAACCACAGGCAGGAGGAGACTTGGTGGAAAAAACAGTCAGACACATTTGATCTCAGTTTGAAAATTGAGCTGTCTTTCTTCAGAAGCGGCCTCTTCCTCTTCCTCTTCCTCTCCCCCGTCCTCTGCCACGAGCGCTGCTCAGGTGCCCGGCAGAACGTCTTAGCTTCTTCCTCTCCTCGTGGTGTTCTCTCTCCGCCTGCTGCTGCTTCCTCTGCTGCTCCGACTGCACACAGGACATCAATAAGGATGTTCAACTTTTTCTGTATGTAAGGTCACAGTCTGGCTGTCACTGCTTTCCATATTCAGTATCACAACACTATGGACTGACCCAAAGGTTGAAAAGTGGAAAAGCAGCTCATGCAAGTTGATATTAGCTTCAATTACAGCTAATATCATGTTTTATTGTTGCGTGCCGTTCTACTGAACCAAAACGATGTAAAACATTTAAAGGAGCAACAATAAGGCTGGATTATTTGGACCCGTGTACCTTTTTGAGAGTGAAGGTCAGCTGTTTGCTGCCCACAGCCTTGTCCGCTGTGCTGCTGATTCCTGAGCTTTCCTCCAACTTTAGCCTCTCCTCCAGAGAAGCCCTGAAAACAAACATTTAGCAAACAGCGATGAGGAATGGGACGGATCAGAAAAGAACTCTTTTCTGTAAAGCAGACGTACTTTTGCAGTTTCTGCTTGTGGGCCACGTCGCCAAAACTCCTGAACTCCTCTCCGGCTTTGAGCTGATAAAACTGCGGCTGACTCGTCTTCTTGCTCTCGGTCTCGTCTCCTGTGCCCTGTTTCCGCTCCAGCAGGACGGTGTTGCGGTCAGCATCCCTCCTCTCCTGCCGCCGTCGGTCTCTGTCTTCCTGCCGCAGTAGCCGCCGCTGCTCCCTCACCTCCTCCACCCAGCTCTTGTCGTCGTCAGAGCTCTCTTCCTCAGAGCTGGCTCGCCCTTCTGGCTCCTCTTCTTCGTCTGCCACCTAACCAGAGAAAATTATTCTTGTGATTATGACATAAAGATAGTGTTTAAATGTCCCTTTTTAAACAAAGCCTTCCTCCTCATAAACACCTAACTAGTCATGTACCTACTGTAAAGCCCAACATACTAAACACAAGAATTTCAGATTATGTTTAAGGTTCCAAAATAACCTAATGAAACGTTTGTCTTAAATTCCAACTTTCCAATTTTAACTGAGAAACTTTATGTATACATTCAGCCTTCCTTGACTCATAAACATTCTTATACAAAGTCTGGCTGGAACCATCTGGACCAAAGTGTATATAGAAAAGATAAGTAACAATAAAAGCACGTTACTATTACATAATTATGAAAAAAAAAAACCTTGATTTATTAAAAAAACTTGCATTTTCCACAAGCATCAGCATCATTGGTAGAAATGTGCAAAAAGTTCTTGATCAGCAAGCCCAATGACACAATGAAGAGCTATTCATGCAAATTTTTTTGACATCTTCACAAAAATAAATATGGTCCATTTCAAAATCTAACTTTTGAACTTGTACATAATAAAGCAGTTGCAAGTGTGGAATCTTGAGTTCCTCCTGGGAATGTCACCTAAATACCAAAATAGCAAGCAAGTGCGTTTCTTGAACAGAATACATGAACATAAATGTATGCTTTTATAAACTTATCTTAATTTGGAAAATGATAAAAGCAAACTCCTAGAGTTTTCAAGACTGCGTAAGAATCTTGTAAGTGGGACAGAAAGGCAAATTTCTATTAACTACTCTTCAAAAATTATAAAACATACCATCCAAATAAGGAACTTGTGTGTTAATCTTCCCAAGTCAGGAAGAGCTGCATATTGGCATATGGTATATTTTCCACATATACCAGAAAAAAGATTTCTATTTTTCATTCTACTACTGTGTGATTTTTGTCAGAAGTTACACAGAGTTTGATTTGGTCAGAAAACCCTCCAGGGCAGATATGTGTAAAACACATGACGGTATGAAAAACAAAAAACAATTGATTCCCACTGTAAAGTATGGTGGGGGATGAGTGATAATGTGGGCCTGCTTTTATTTTTGAAGGACTCTGGAACCTTGTTTGAGTTTTTTACATTATAAACACAAATACAAGGACATTTTAGCGCAATAAAACTGCCAAACATTTTAAATGGGCCACGATTTGTTCTTTCAGAAAGGATAACAATCCAAATCATAGAACCCTATAAACACCAGATGCCTTCTGGGTCTTGCATGACTGAGTGCACATTCAAGACTTAAATCTCAGAGAAAAATAATAGGATCTGAATTTTTTTTACCAGGGAAATGAAGGGGAAATAGCTGTTTCTCCAAATGATGTTCTTTTCTAACTTATTTTACCCACCGCATATCAAAATCAACAAACTAACTTTCTGGTAGAAGCAGTAAAAAGTTAACACCGTACCACAGAATTAAATGTTACCTGCTGGACGTCGGCCTGCTGCTGAGCCAGCAGTCGCAGCTTCTTCTTCCTCTTCTGTCCCACCTTGGAGACGATGGGGTTGAGCAGCCGGAACTCTTCGCTCTGCTCATCCACCTGGTAGTCTGGGTTCTCGAACATCACCTTGAAGCGATCGTCTCCCAGGATGCTAGGGAGAGCCTGCAGATGTTGTGTGCAAAGGTGAAACGGTCAATAAATCAGAAATATTTCACACTTGATCTCTTAACTGAGCTGTTGTCTGTTGGAGTAGACTGTAAAATGTATTGAGATACAACTAACAAAGTTAGTTTGGAACATTTTGTTTCAATAAAAAATAAAAATGATGTTGCAAGTTTATCATGGAACAAAAAGTTATTGTTTCTGAGAAGTGATAGGGTGTGACTGCTCTGATTGGTGTGCCGTCATGTTTTGTGATAGGGTGTGACTGTTTTCCTACCTTGCCCTTCTTCTTCCTGGATGCCAGCTCTGCCTCTTCATCTCCCTCCTCCATCAGCTTGAGAGCCAGCTCTTTGTTCACCTTCGGCAGTTTCTGTCTCATCAAAACAAAATGTACGCTTGATTACACACAAACACAAAGTCTGATGACGCAAACTGCTGCTCACATCCTCAAATTACATTTCCAATTCTAGCGTTTCTTAGAGCTCATAATGTTTTCTCCACATTTGGAGCCTGTTCGAACAGGATGAGAGGACACACACATTTTTATGTGTTGCAACAGCTCAGCTGGTTGAAACCAGGGGAATCCTGTCTGCAATGAGCAGCTACGAAGAAAAGGTTGCACCAGAAAACAGTTGTTATGGAAAAGTTTGTCATCTTTCCAGCACTCCTCACCTGAACCTGGACTCTCTGCGTTCTGGACTCCTCGATCTTCTGCCGGATCTTATCCTTGCGGTATTCCTCGTACGCAAAAGGATTTGCCATGGTTTTCACCTGAAGCCAAGCCAAATGTTATAATTGTGACATTTTTGGCAACATTCGGATGCCACATGATCTCCGTAATGGTTCCAATAAATATTTCAGAGTGAAACAACCTGACACAGTAGCATCCCACCTTGTGATACAGCCTTATGTCCATGAAAAAGCCATGCATGTAGGCTCTCAGGAGAGACGACCCAATCAGGTGAGACAAACCTGGAGAAAAACATTAAAAATGAATTCATACAAAATAAATATATTCATGATTCCTTAAAAGATGAATCCAGGTGATTTTATCTTTGATATTTTAGGGCCAAACTATGATCCTTTTTTTTAATACTTGCCGTGTTAAAAAAAAAAAAAAAAGAAAAACAAATAAAAAGGTCCCTAACCTCTACAAATACTGGGGTTCCACTGTATTATTAAAATATTACAACCATTAAACAGAAGATTTGAGTGAGAACTGTGAGTTGACTTTTCTCTGCCACCGTATTTTCTGCATACGTTGAACTGACGATGAGTCATTGAATATTTTTCTGCCATTACAATAATTAGTGGGATCTGCTTTTACAGGTCGAGGAACATAACTTGGAAGTGGAATTTACGCCTTTATATGTTACAATATCACGCCAACTGTGGCTAAAATTATTGGGAGCATTTGGGATTGGCCAGAAGCACACAAAGGTCAGATAATAAAGATGGAAAAATATTAAACTCAAAAAAATATTTTCATGTATATTAAGAAAGTTACTAAATGTGACCAATTTCTTCTATATTGGTTACTTATGTTTTTTTATTCAGAAGAAAAAAAAGAGTATGAAACTCATCATCAGAACCCGATGAAGCATCTCTTCAGTTCATCACTGGGTGAGGTGTGAGTGGGAGTAGACGTACACTGGATGAGTTCAAGCCTGCAACCACAGGAACTCCCAGGAAGTGGAGCAACCTGCTTTTCCTGGGATCGTCAATCTGTAAACTCGGTAGACCCCTGCAGGGTTATGTAAGAGCCGCGGTATGAGGATCCAGTAAATCAACACCACTGTCCCACAGGACCAACCCCCGGCCATCTCTCTTTATTCCACACCAACCCGCTTCCTGCTCTCCTGTGATCTGATCTCGCTTCTGCTGAGGCTGCATTCCAGTGTTCATTCAACCCCTCCCGGGTTCTCTGCCTGCATACCTACAGCCTCTCAATCAATCCCCCAGGCCTCTGCTCAGCACAGACATGAACAGGAACTGAGACTCTCAGTTCCTGAGATTGTCTCACATCTCATTATCAAAGCATTTCACTGCAGCAATGTCTCACCCAGATTCTCCAGGTCCTTGCGGGTGACGAACTTGTAGTCGTCGTAGACCGTGCTCTCAGGGCTCTCCTCCAGCTCCTCCGTCAGACTGTCCAGGAACGAGCACCAGCGAGGAGCCGGGCCCAAAGCCTGAAACACAGGAGCGGCACGCTTCAAACACGACTCACATTTAGACTCTTAGAGAAATCTGGCGTATATTTGTTGAAGTAAAAATAGCCTGGCTGCTCCCAAAGCTCCCATTACAGACAGAAGTGAACTGTCTTTGCAAGGCAAAGTTTTCACTTAAAACGTGATGGACTGAAATTACCGTTCATATAAAAAGCAAGTTTGCAAACATTTACAACTCCTGTGAGTGTGACGTTCTCACGCTCCTGTCTGGAATCCTTTTCAGTGACATTGTTTCTGCTCAGATGTAAACAGCTGACTGGAAACCAACTGAAACAAGATTTTATCTGCTTATTGCTTTCCTCAAACTGATCTTTTATTAAAAATTCTCCACATAAGGTTTTTAAGAATTTCTGACAAACATTTGCACATGTCTTGAGCTGTAAATATAAAAAATAAAACAAAGCAGAATGTAAGAAGGAAGGAGAGTTGATCAACAGATGGATAATGTATAATCTGATATAAAAATTGTAAATATACCCAAATTAAATTTTCACCCTTTTAAAAATTACAAAAGTTAATATTTTTTCTCTATTTCATTACCAGCAACTTTATTTCCAGTGTTTAAAACTCAGAAAACTTCCTAAGCCTGGTGGTTTGGTGCTTGGACACTCATTCATTCAGCAGCTCACCGTGTTTTAGAGTTAAAAACTGTTTAAAGTTGAGAGGAGATTTTAAAATACCACTTGATAATTAAAGTTGATGTAATTTGCTTTCCAACTAAATAATATGGCCAAAAACAGTAAGTAAACGTTTAACAGTCAAAAAAAACTGTTACTTCAAGTTCAAACTCTTATTGAAATGCATCATAGTTTGTGATTGGATGGGGAAGAATCAAGTACAAATAGTTATTTATTGAAAACTGCATCAACTCAGAACTTTGCTCCCTATTTATTAATGGTGACATATTGATGTCTTTATTTGTTGAGATGAGCAGCCATGGCTTTCAGTGTAATCTTTGCTTAAGGGTTATGCAATCATGGTGGGAAATGTTATGCATTTTCGCTTGATGTCTAACCCGCTCAGTCAACATGAAAAAGACAATTTTGCTGGAGGTTGACTCTGGACAAAATGTCATGTCATGTCGCCAATTTAAACACAATCCAGCGTCCGATCGTTCTTCAGTTCCATCACAGGAAATGAAGCTGATCAAGTCTTTGCTGAAGGAAACATTTCAAAAACATCAAGGCTGCATTTCCAAGCCCAGGTGTAATTTAGGAACTCTGTGGAAAGTTGACGCAATACTCATGAATAGAAGCAATGAAAGCAAGCAAAGACTCATCTCAGAGCAGAACTGCACTTCTCAGAAAAACGCATCCTTCTTTGTATTAACGTTGAGAAAGAACACCAGGTGCACGAGTGGATCAACAGGTTCTAACCCAAAGAGACCCATTAAGTTAATTAAGTATTGACTTAATTAAGACCATTAAGTAAAGCAATCATTTTATCACAGCTGAAATACAACAAGTGCGCCTCCATCACAAATAAGATTCTTCCATCTTCCTTCGTCAAGTATTTCACAGAAATACTCGCCAGTTTTTTTAGATGTTGAACAACTTTTAGATTTTGTTTGGGAGATTGATGAAATTTGTTTTCTTTATGAATTGTAAAGAGTTTTCTGTGTTTTCATGTTAAACACTGCTATAAACACACGTTGGCTAAAACCATTCCTTTTTAATTCAGCTCCAACAGCACAACCACAAACCTATGTGTAGTTGTGCAGAATAAATTTTGTGGACAAAATAATTAGCTTTTAATTTCATAGTAAAATGTTCCTTCTTATGGTCTAATATAGCGTTTTACGAACTAAACAAAGACGGTTGTAGTGCTGACCTGGGTTGAGAGGTTTTACTAAGTGGCATTTTTTGAATGCACAGAGTGCGACTGTGCTGCATTGGTTAGCCATCTGAGCGTATCTGACTGGACGAAAACCTGAATCTGACGCCACTGTTCTGAGATATACAAGAATCGGTACACAACTAAATACCACATGTTTAGTAAACTTCAAAAAGTTGTTATAAAAATGTCATAAAATAAGTTTTCGGGGAATCTGACAAAGATTAATTTGTCACCTTGCCATTGCATCTAGGATGAAAGGTTTATCCAACCAGGAATGTCCTCATTTACACAAAGCAGAGCAGAGTTTACAGTACACACACACACACACACACTCTTTGCTGATCTGAGTCACAGGACACATTGCTCTCTCTGTAAACAAACTGCCTTCTCTTCTTTTGTTTGCTTCTACAGAGTTACTCAGAAGTTTAAATAAAGTCACCTTATGCATAAGGTTGTCAGCCTTTGCTTAATGTGCTGTGGAGTATTTCATTCACTCCGCAACCAGCAAGCATCATCTTTACTACTTTATACCACTCGTCTTCTGTGACCAAACAGCTCAATCTCTGTCCCGTCTTTCCTCCAGGAGTCATGGTTTCACCATGTAGACAGCTGCCAATTCTGAGTGTCAATAGTCCCTGTTGATGTGAATTGGCTTTTAATACCTTGATTTTACAGCATCTTCTACCTTGTGATAGGCTTGAAGAAGCTTTGATTTTATTGGGGAGAGGAAAGTTTAGGCTGGATGAGTGAAACATTCACAAAACTGGGTTTTCTAGCAGAGAACTGATTTTCCAAAGGATGAAGCTTACAATAATCGTCTGGAATGACCTTGGAATAATCCCTGTTAAGAATTGTGGACCATATTTAAAAGTCTTTAAAAGTCAAGAAACCAACCACTTTATTCGCGACGAGTGGATGTAAAATCCTGAATGGCACTGTTAACGTCTCGTTAAACTGTCGCCTTCATGACTGAGTCCACGGCTGTCTGTCTGCATCTACCACACAGTGAGGCAGCGTTGCACATGAACATGTAGCGAGCATGGCGTCTCCATACTCACCGGGATGTAGAACGTGTTCATTTTGGGGTCTTCATTGGCCGTGAAGAGCATTCCTGTTTATGACATATAACACAGTAAGGGATACAAAGCCAGTCAACATTCTGCAGCAAAACTTCATTCCAAGTTTTACTGTAGAATGAAGGTAAGTTTAATAAACAAAAAAAAACAACAATAATTACAGTAATAATAATATTATTAGTATGAAAAATAAGTTTTTTTTTTTTCTCATTTCAGTGGAAAACTGACAAATGAAGGGAGCTTGTAAAGAAATGAGCTGCTGGAAAATTTTACTAAATGGCGCCTCCAAGAGGTCAATTTTGCCTGTGAGCTGCTGGTAACTTTAATTTCCTGAGGGAGTCTTCCCAAGGGATCAATAAAGTACAAGTCTAAGTCTATTATTTAAAAAAAATAAAACAAAACAAACAAAAAAACAGTATTTGACTCCCTGAATAAGCCTTATTCTAATTGAGAAAAACATGTATTGAGATTATTAAAACTAAAATCGATATTTACCCAGAAAATCATTTATTACAAAGATTATTTCATTTATTAATTTCTATTATTTAATTTCTATCATTTTCTATTTTTCTAGACAAAGCTTATTCTGCTTAAAACAGCAAAGTGATCACAAGTATTTGTCTTGAATATATATATTTTATTGCTCACAAGTGGTGGTTCTGGTGTTAATTAAAGAGTTAAAACAGGAAATAAAATTCAGTAATTTCTGATGTTGACATTTTATTTTATGTTCGAAATATGTAAAATTACAGGCTTCTTTCTTATTGTGACCTGTTCAACGAATAGGGTCACAATGAAATAAATCCATAAATTCAACTGTTTTTGTTGTCTTAAATAAAACAGTTCTCCTTCGTCATCATACTGCCACCTGAAATACTGGTTCTTATTGCCAATATACCATCAATGTTTCAGTCACGACAAAAAGAAGTGACCACGGTCTACTTTCTCAAAGTTTCAAGAATGTGCAGCAGTCGTAACATGTGATGTTTGTACCTGAATTGGGGTACATGGAAACGTCATTGAGGTCGCTCTGAGGCTGTATGGAGGAGAACAGCTTCCCCTGCAGAACAGAGTAGAAAAGACAAATGCAATTTATAGACATCACACATCTCCAACTGTATATTGTTTTTGTTTTTTCTTTTGCTCTTACTCATTTCAGAAATACTGGCAGACAGCAAAACATTGACTCGCTGTTCCTCCTTACCGAGTCTTTGTTCCAGATTTTTATGATCTTTGAATCAGCCGACACGATGAGGTCCAGCTGGTCGTGGAAGTTCAAAGATTTGATTGGCAAATTGTAGAAGTGATCTTTGACCAGCAGCGGTTGGCTGGAACGCAGATCATACAGCAGCACCTGGGCGAAAAAGACAAAGTGAAGAGAGGGAATGAGTAACACGACAGAATACAAAAAAATTATATGTCTTTTCATTTTCCTGTTTTTTCCTGTTCCTGCTATAAAATTTTGCATTTACAGGTAGGGTATGTCCATTTTTCCATTTAAAATGGCCCACTGCATCACAGATCCCCTGCTGTCCTTAATAGTGGACATAAAGTACTGTTGAACTCACCTGTCCAGTGCTGGTGCCGACTGCCATGGTGAGGGAACCATTAAACTTCAGTGCACTGATGGACGGTAAACCCTGAACTCTGTCAGCAATCAGAAAGTCACAGCAATCACCACAAAGACCAAACATAAAACTCAAAGAGGGATATGATGTCTGACACAGACTGGAGCTGGAAACTCGTTCTGACTCAAAGAAAAGCTTCATTTTCACAGCTTGCTGCCTGTTTTTCAGGGAGAAAAGCACCATGTGGCTACATGTGCATCGGCACACTGAGATCATCCCAGAGGACGCGGCAGTCTCAGCGTGGCAGCTCGGTGCTTACTCTGTTCCTTCAGTCAGGCTGCTCAGGGCGCAGTCCAGAACGCCCACTCGGTTCCGGATGCGAGGGTCCCAACATTCGACCCTTCCCTGGTGAACAGACAGAGCAGATCACAGCCAGTCGGAAAATCACAGTTTAGAGTTTTAACAGAGAAGTAGCATGTATTTTCAGTGATTAAATTAATCTTCGGATTAGACGCTGCAGCATAAAGACTAGAGTGTTTTCTTCACACTGCTGGTCTAAAGTTGGCTCTGGGAGCGGCTTCCTAAATGTTGACATTCCTTCAACTTAAAACTCAACCTTAATCAGGAGCTTCTCAGAAATCACCAAAAAATAAAATAACAGATTATATCACACCTTTAAAAAGCATCTGAAAAATGTTAAGTGTTGATTTAAAACAACAGTTCTGCTTTTTACTGAATGAAAATAATAAATAAAAATATATTATTATATATATTTAATAATATATACAATTGTGTTTTTTGTGGTTTATGCAAAAACACAATTAATCCAGCAGTTTGTGGTCCTAAAATCCTCCAATGCAAAAAATATTATTGAAGGACTTTTTCAACCACAACAAACATGCAAACTAAAATAAAGGGTAAAAATAAAACCCACCTTCTTTAAATTAGATGAGGATAAAAATGATCTAGTTTATAAACAGGTTTTAAAAGTGTTAAAATTCAAACTTATGTGAATAACGAGAAATTGTGACGTACTCTTCTTTAAGCGGTGTTGCTTTATGATTTAATTTGATAATGTTCTATGTACTTTTTTTTGTGACTGGATGTGTGTTACATTCCAAAAAATTAAATGAATGTTTTAATTCATCTAAGCATAATTTTTTGAGTTTTATGGTTTTTTTTATGCTAAGAGTATTTTCACTGCAATGCACAACCATGTTTGTTCATCAAATGTAGGCTGGGAATTACTCTCAAGTCTAACACCGAGCTCTTGTTCCATCTGAGAGCTTTTCATTAAAACTAAACGTCTGTTGCTGAAACAACAAAAGAAGTGTTTCTTTCAGGAGAACTAATGCTTGAACAGCATAGGACATCATTGTGAGGTATTGAGAGGTGTCACTGAGCGTGGGATTTGGTGCTGTAAGCGTAGGAGGTCACAACAGAAAACAGCTGACACACCTCATTTGTGTGTCTTATGCACATGCAAAGGAGGAAAGATTTTACTTTCTTCCTTTGCAGCTCAGAATGAAAGCAACAAAAGTTATAATCTTAGTTTGTGTGTCCTATGGAGGTAGCAATGAAACTGCACAAGACAACTGCTAACTATATTGGAGTGTGCGCTTTCTTGCTTATATTTACAAGCAATATGATGTATTATTATTATTGCAATAATACATCAGCTAACAGCCTGGAGGACCCGCAGAACAGAGTGACAACTAGACGCTGCAAGGGTAAATTTAGTTTCTGAGTTGTTGCAAACTGTGGCAACTAGAGACAAGGAGATGAGCATTTTAACAGTTTAAAAGCTGTGATGAGTAAACAGCGTATGTACGCAGACTGTTGTCAAAACAGCAGGGATGATACAGGATACGATTCCTCGTCTGCTCATACTTCATATCAGCTAAGCCTCTTGTTACTGTCTCATTTCCATAAGAAATGCTAGTTTTATGTTATGTTTATCTTCTACAGATAGAGGGAGTTTTCTACATGGGCGCATGAAACATTAAGACTACATATGTTGTCTTAGTTGACAAACTGAGCGACTCCATCTTAAATTCAGGGCGGAGAAAAGAAAGCGAGGAGACACATGTTGAGATAAACAAATCAATTAATCGCACGATAAATGAAAGTTATCAACCTCATTTTAATTTATAGTTTCTTCATTCCTTTTTTTCTCTGTTGCTGATACTGGATGAAAAGAGGCTCAACTCCGGTGCGTTCCACTAACTCCTCCCTTCCTCATTTCCTTAGTGTAATGCCCAGTTCACATTACACAATGTTAGAATTGTCGGTCGATTGTCGGCCCATTTTCAAAACCTGAGAGATCACACCTTAACCGACAAAATTCGTAGGCATAACTGTTCGATCGGGTTGGATAAAAGAGTGGAGGATGGGACTTTATTTGCTGCACTATCATTAGTAGGTGAGTTCTTCTGTTTTTTTTGTCTTTACCATTTGTGTGTTTAAGCTTCATCGGTTAATTAGTATTTATCATTTTAATGTTTAAAATTACATTGAGAACAATGGGCACAAAATAATGGCTACAAGTTCAGTTAATTAATTTTAAAATCAGGCATTACTCAATGCTTTACTACAATCTACCTGCAACACATGTGGCCAGTGTCAGCGTAAAGTCCTGACTGAATAACCTCATCATTATAACCTATTCATGTCACGTTAACGATGAACAGCTAAAAAGTTACCACATTTTTCAGCTACAGTTTCGCTCCAACTCCTCCCCTTGTCATTTCTGTGGATATTCTTTGCACGAATAAACATTGATATTCTTTCCACATCCATTTTATTTTTGGTTGTTTTGTTTATTTAGTTTACCAGTTCCAGCATTAAGTGTTCTTTTGAAAGTAGAGTTTATCCATTTTTGCAGGATATCGCTTGCATTATTATGCCATTACCATTACATCTGTTTAAAACGGTCTTCAAACAATATTATTGTTTATCACAATAATTTTTGAGACAATTAATCATTCAGCAAAATTTGTTATTGTGACAGGCCTATCAGCATCGGCATCAAAAAACGCAGCGCTCACCTCAGAGGTTCCTGTTGCGAATAAATGATGAACAGGGTTGATGTCACAAACATTGTTCTCCCTGGGCGATGAGGAAACAAAAACTCATCATGAACAAAGACGACAAATCATGCAAGCCTCGAGATGAGCAAGCATCTCTCAGTACGTACACGCCGTCTGTCTGAAGGGAGTTGAGGAAGCGCCCCTGCTCCAGGTTCAGTCTGTACACCTCGGAACTGTGAGTGAAAACAAGCGTTAGAGAAACTTTTGTGAGGGACACAAAAGTTGCCCTCACCATGTAACACTGCTTTCCAGTCTCACCTCATCCCCACAAAGTAGAGGTCGCAGGAGGGATAGTGGTAGGAAAAGTCCCGTCCGAACTTTGGAATCCGAGTCTTGTAGTAGTGGCCATGTTGGGCGTGGAACTCCACATGGCGATCGCACTGCAAAAGAACCAGCTGCAAGAGAACACAGAGATTATCGGCACGCTGAAACCTAAGAGCAGTCAAAAGTGTTTGGGTGAGCTCAAGTTCCAATCTTGTTACTGCAGCAACAATTTTAGCAATTATTAGAAATAGGATAATGAGCTGAAAACACCACGTCTTCTTTGGGTTGAGAATTGAATGCTTAGGTTTGGAGCAGTGCTAACAAAAAGACATTTTTATAGTTTATGGCAACTTTTGACCACACAGAAAACATTGTTTTGCAAAAGATCTTCAATGCAGCAACATTTTCCGAGATTCATGGAAGCAAATAGGTGAGAGGGCAGATTTCTCCTAACTTTAACTTCTATTTCAACTCACAGAGCTTCTGTTTTATGGAGAGAAACAGTTCAATCCAATTCAGATCATGGCAAAGCATGACATTTGTCAGGTAAGAAAGTTTGATGTGTTACTTGGGTTTTTTTCTATGTCTCCAGTTAAAGCAAAAACCTTTAGGATCAATTGACCTGTTTATCAAAAAAAGAAAAAAGAAAAACAATTATGGGCCTGAACAATATTCCATCTGCCATTGATCGACGTGACTGTGTAGCAAAAAACAAATTGAAAATCAATAATTAAGAATAAAATCTCTCACCTTTGAGTAATCATCTGACAGGATGTCAAAAGCCACAACTGTGTGAAAAAGAAGAAGAAAAAGGAAAACAGTAAAACCGAATGTTCCAGAAGGGGCTTGAAAAGATAGACGAGAGAAACCTACCATCTGAATCCAAACATCGCTCAAATTTAAGGGACAGCTGATATGTGTCATAGCAGCGAATTCTGGGTTTGTATGTTCCTGAGGGGAAAATACAGTAAATGAACCCTTTCATCTTTCTTCAGTGATAAAGTACAGGAGTGTTTTCTGAAGCCAAAAGATGGTCTTACCTGCTGCCAGGATGAACTGACCGTCTCGGGACACTTTGATAGAGGTGCACACTGTGGGCATCTCAAAGTCCTGAATGAGTTCGATCCGCCGCTGGATGTCTGAAAAACAAAAAAAAAAAAAAAACAGCAAAGGGAAAGCAATGCTTCAAACTTTGAACAAATTATCTTGTCTGCAGTGCTGACAATGAAGCAATACACTCACCGACATCTTTTTTCTGAAGCTGTCTTTTCTTTCGATCTGACAACCACTGCAACAAGAAGAGAGAAGAGAGGACATTTCAAGAGAAAAATAAAGAAGAATTTTTAAGTGGTGGGACACAAGCAGCTGGAATCTACTGAGGAAGCCTGGGTTAGTGTTAGAGATAAGGTGGAGAGCACCTGCGATTTGAGCAGAGATCAGACCCCAACAGCTCTGCAGTGAAGTTTAAACCATTTTATCAGGATTTGCCTTAATGTCCTCAATAGAAAGCATTCCAATGGAATCACACTCCAACGCAGACCCAAAAATTGCAAGAGCGATTTGCAATTGGAATCCCTCAAAAAGTACTTCTGGAAAAGAAAGCTGTCCTCACATCGGTTCACCAGTCGTTCAAAGTCTATTGTGTAAGAGTTTTTTCATCATAATCCCAACACTTAACGATCTGATTTAAGCCAGCACAGTCGTGTTATGGAAAACAGCAAAGGTCTGATTACACATTCTTGAGGTGCTCCTGTGCTACCTTAGAATCATCCTCGTGTTTTGTCTTTCAGTATTTTTATACAGAAAATAAAAAGGGCAATACCTCGGAATTAATCAATCAATGCAATAAAATGAAGCCGAATGTTGTTTATACTTTACGACACACGATAATATTGTGGGACATCGTTGCTATACATCAATGCATTTCTATTTGTGCTGTTTTAAGCGAGTCTTTCGAGCATGTAAAGTCTAGATTGGTGGTAATAGCAACTGGGGTAAACAACATCTGAGATAGAAATATCAATTAAACCGCTACAGTAACTTTGATCGCTTGGAGTATTCTACCTCAGGAAGGGACTTTCCATAACTTAGGTTATAAATCTTCACATCGTTCACGTTTGAAATCTGCATTTCTAGGGGTTCGCCGATTCCTCATACACGTTGTTGTACCACAGCAACCAGGGAGTCTGGATAAAGTGTTCGGGTAGAACAACTTCCGGTTAGTTTCCCGGTAATTATAGAAACCGAGAAATTTTCAAATTTTGTACATTTTATTTTATTTTTTTTAAACTTAGAAATTTAAAATTTTTTTGTAGAATATTTATGAGATCAATCTAAATTTTTCGGAGTTTTCTTTTGTTGCGGAAATTCATTTGTTATTTTAGAGTACGGTGTCCTGTAAGGCGGCGGTTTTCAAAGTGTGAGGCGCGCCTCCCCTGGGGGGCGCCAGAGCACATTAGGGGCGCGGTGCGAGGGAAAAATTAAACCGAATAAGAAGCTATCGGCTTGCTGTCTACTGATGTGAGAGAAAACAATTGACAAATTTTTAGTAAACGTGTTCATCTCCTTCACTTCAACCTATCTATGTGAATGTGGGTTTTCTGCACTCGCAATGATAAAAAGCAAATCCCGGTCAGGGCTGCTGGTTGAAAATGATCTGCGGTTATACCGCTCCACAGTGCAACCCCGCATTAACCGGATTTGCGCATCAAAAGCACAAGCACATTGTTCCCACTAAAACGAAGGTGAGCTTAACAGTAATGTTGCCAATGTGTTGCCACGTTGCCAATTTAGTTAAAATCATAAATAAAATGACTTACACAGCAGGCATTGTGCTCCTTGGAGGGGGGGGGGGGGCTCATCCTTTCATACTTTGAAAACCCCTGCTATATATATATATATATATATATATATATATATATATATATATATATATATATATATATATATATATATATATATATATATATATATATATATATACACACACATATAGGTAGTTGTACCTCGGTTACAAGTACCTAGGTATACCACAAGCAAATGGCAACCTCGATGAGGTCACAAGGAAAGGAGCCACAGCTAAATACCTCCAACGAATAAGGCAAGTCCTGAGAAGCCAGCTCAATGGCAAGAACAAAATCCGTGGGATAAACAGCTATGCCCTGCCAGTAATCAGATACCCTGCTGGAATAATTAGCTGGCCAAAGGAGGAGATAAAAGCCACAGATATTAAGACCACAAAGCTACTAACCATGCATGGAGGGTTTCCATCCCAAATCCAGCACCCTGAGACTGTACACGAGCCGCAAGGAAGGAGGCAGAGGACTAGTGAGTGTGAGAACCACTGTCCAGGACGAAACAACTAAGATCCATAAATACATCAGGGACAAAGCCTCAACAGACAATGTGCTCAGTGAATGTCTCAGACAACAGGGAACGGAGGTTGAGGTGCCAGAGATACCATCATGGGAGGACTAGCCCCTACATGGGATGTACCACCAGCAAATAACCCAAGTGGCTGATATCAGTAAATCCTACCAATGGCTGAAAAAGCTGGACTCAAGGACAGCACAGAGGCCCTCATCCTGGCCGCCCGGAACAGGCCCTAAACACCAGAGCAATAGAGGCCCAGATCTACCACACCAGACAAGACCCAGGTGTAGTTTGTGCAAGGAGGCCCCCTGAGACAGTCCAGCACATCACAGCAGGTGCAAGATACTGGCAGGGAAAGCGTACATGGAACGACATAACCAAGTGGCAGGCATTGTGTACAGAAACATCTGTGCAGAATATGGACTGGAACCCCGAGATCAAAGTGGGAAACACCCCCAAAGGTGGTGGAGAACGCCAGAGCTAAGATCCTGTGGGACTTCCAGATCCAGACAGACAAATGGTAATGGCGAACCAACCAGACATTGTCGTAGTGGATAAACAACAGAGGAAAGCCGTTGTGGTAGATGTAGCAATACCGAGCGACTGCAACATCAGAAAAAAGGAGCACGACAAACTGGAGAAATTGTTACTGGAGAGGGCCTGGAAGATGAAGACCACAGTGGTGCCTGTGGTTATCGGGGCCCTCGGGGCAGTAACCCCCAAACTGGAGCAATGGCTACAACAGATCCCACCCTCTGAGACAGACTCACCTGAAGGATCTGATCCTCCCATGGGTACGTCACACCCACCACTCATCTGCTGCCTGTCCAACTGCTGGAACTCCCAAGTACTCCCCTTTGCCTACCTCAATCCGCTGACCATAAGGTACCCTCAGGTTACCTGTCGTTCCCTTCATTACTTCCCTCTTTAACCGCTTCCTCTTTCAGTTTCCCCGCTGACCTGGTCCCTCCCTGCTGTCGCAGATCGACGTCCCTCCACACACTTCCCTGTTTAATAAATTTATTAAAACTGTTTGAGTGTCCCATGTTGTTGCTTGCCTCAGAGTCCTGATAACCTCGCATTATGACAGTTCTATTTTGCTTAGAGTTTTTGTAAAAATAAAAATAAGCCATTAAAAAAATAAGATTTAATATTTCATGGTGTTTATTAATTATCTTTATTTTCGGTTAATGTTTATTTGCTCAGGTCACCTGAGTGATGAGAGCTTCCTGTAACAGGACAGAGTCGGATGGCTGTCAGACTGCACTCCTCAGACATCAGTCTGTCTCAGGTGGCGCTGCTGTTCAGACTCAAACACTCACAGAGGAATCATCACTGGAGGACTATGAAGGTAACCTGGAGGTATTCAGCTGCTTTAAAATTTAATTCTGGGGTGTATTCTAATTTCAGATATTGAGAATATATACATTTATGTACATATATAAAACAGTCACTATTAGTTTGAAATATCTAATATGTATGTGTGTTTCCAGGAAAAAATCTGATCTCTTTTATGTCAAACTGGTTCTGGATTTATGACTGATGGCCTCTATGTGAAGCACAAGGAGTCATCATGACAGACTTTTGGTTGATTTCTGTCCCACTGGACAAGACCAGTTTAACCAGCGTGGAGAAACTGAAGCGCACCATTACTAAAACCCACCTGGGCTCATGCTGGAGGTTCTCCATCCCAGATCTGAAGGTGAGGGTGTGAGTAAGACATGCACAACAGAGGAGGAAAAGTTTCACTGAACAAGACAAGACAAAGAGGCTTGTTGTTTTTATTTTTTTGTTTAAAGTGGTACAGTGGAGTATGAGCGAGGACACTGATGGTGTTTGGTGTCCTTCTCTGGTGAAGGGATCGAGGCTCAGGTTGCTCTCTACAGTTTGAGGCAACATTTCCATCCGACCCGTTTCACTTAGCATGATCAGTGTCCTGCATGCCATCCAGGAAGGTGTTCTTTCACCACATATATTGTTTTTAACCTCCCAAAGATTAAAAACAATATATGTTTTAACATATATTGTTAAAGCTCTCATACAGAATGAGATGTTACACTAGAATCTAAAACTCAGGTCTTTTTTATGCATTATGAGCTTTTATACATAGTAATTGACCCAACACATGAATATGCAAAGTAAATCACAAAAGACCTCATTTCTCTTTCAAATCGCTGATAGATCACTTGGTCTTCAACGGAAAGTATTATGTATTCTCATACAGAGATCATCTTAAATAAAAATAGCATTGGATGCAAAAATTGATACTCAAGAATTAAAAATAGATTTAAGCATGAATAAATGTGCAGATTAACCCATGTAATCCCATCGGCAACGATTGTTTCCAGACGTTTTTTCTAACTTCAGGAAGCTCTAGAACAATTGTTTTGACTTTTGGCAGCTAATTGAAGTTTTAAAATAAAATAATAGTGTGTTTACTGGAAACAATATCGATTTCATGTATTTAGTGTGAAATTTCACATGATCAGACCTCTTTACTTCCTGACTGTGACGCTGGAGGTGAATGCCTCTCTCAAACTTGTACAAAATATTTCATTAAACAAATATAATTAAAATATTTTTCAACATATGTTCTTTCAAGTGTCTTCTACTGATATATAAAGAAAATGGTATCCCATCATCCATATTTTGATCATAATAAGAGTGAATGTAAGCATGGCAGTTATGCAAGTGCTGGACACAGCACTATGCTATGTGTCCATAGCTTTGCTGTTTATTCTATATGTCTTGCTGTTCCCATTCAGTTTTAAAACTATCAGATACTTTAGATCTTCTAGACCTGAAGGAACAACAAAATCATGTCTTCTACATCCCACAGTTGAAACCCTCCCCTAGTCCACCCCCCAAAAGGTGATCTTTTCCACAAAGTGAAAGTGTGGCCTATGCATTGAATTGCCTACACAGTATGATGCCTCGCCTGAAACCGGGGCGTGGCATCAGGACACAGCTAGGGCTAAGATGTACTGCTTGGTCTGGTGGAACATGGAGAGTTTCCGCCGAGATACAAATTTGTTCATACTAACATTTTCACCTGACTTTGCCTCATTGAAACGACCAACTGAGGTCAAAGGTCACTCGGCACATGGAGGCAATGACATCTGCTGCATGTGGCATTGAATCTTTATGTATCTAAAATATTTCTGAACACCCTAGTAACCATTCTTTGTTAAAATAGATTATGCATGTCATAATTTTTCTTATTTTTTATATGTATAAATAGGCCATATTTGTGCAGTTTAGACTATGTAGATTACCACCAGAAACAATTGTTGCTGAGTATAAAACCTACATTTTCACCAACATAACCAATATAAAGTGTAATAATTCAGAAATATCATGTGTTTGGGAGGTTCAAGGATTGAAATGCATGCATTTATTTTTCAGGAAAGAATTTGGGATTAAAAGGGTTTAAAGAAAACAGACATTTTGTATCATCTGGTCGAACTGTGTTGAACAGAATAAAAAGCTTTCCATTGAAGGTCATTTCAAAATCCAGTAAACAAAAGGAAGGAATATAGAAAGCTAAAAAAAATTATATTTTAATAAAAAATACTCATTGTTGATTCAAAGACCAAAATCCTGGATACAAGTTGCTAAAATAAGTGTCCTTCATTGTGCGACTGGATTCAGAATTAGGGCAGAATTGGGCTCAGAGTAGAGTTACTACTCATCCGGAAAAGGAGCCAGCTGAGGTGGTTCTGATGTCACATCACAACACTTCCTGCATGTCTTTCTTTGATGTTTTCTGAGATCCTGGAGCTGACCCAAAACATATACTGGACAGACC